GTTTCATTTAATCCTCACAACAGCCTTTCAGAGTAACTACCTTGATAATGGTATTATCTCCATTTTGCAGGTGAGGAATGTGAGGCTCAGAGAGATTAAGTAACTTGCCCAAAGTAACCCAGCCAGTATGTAACAGAGCTGGGATTTGAATCCAAGTCTGTCAGACTCCAAAGCCCATGCTCTTTCCAGTACTTCACACTGTAGCAGGTAAGTATGATACTTGGCCCTGTGCCTGCCTTACCTAGGGCACCCCAAACTTGAGCCTGTTTCCATTGCCTCACTGTCCAACTCTTAGATTCATGTTAGAAGAAAGTGTGATGGGCCAAGATCAGTCCTTGTGCATCCTGATTGCAGTGGACTTATCAGTTCTTTCTGGATATTGCAATTATTACTCTTCATGAAGAGGAATGCGCATCTTTGCTTTCAAAATATGATTTCCTCTTTTGAATTATGGCAGCAAAATTTGTTCCAGGAGTTTGCCAGCAAGGATCTTCAACTCAGTTGTCTAAAGCATCATTCATATTCTCAGACCTAAGGCTGTATACCCAAGGGACTATAGGACGTCATTATTCTTTTTATTGGGTAGGGAATGGATCTTCCATTCTTTCACCTGCTTAAATGGTAAAATTGTTGTGAGGGTGGAATGAAATAATAGATGTTAAACCGTATGAACTACTATACTGTAATCCCTTACCTTGCCAACAGCCCCATCTAAGTAGAGATTCTTCTTTTGTGAAACTAGTACATGCATACACATTTTTAATTCTCTAAATCTTTTTAGTTAGCCCAGAGAATTTTGAGTGCATGTTTGAATTGTAAATTATTCCAATTTGAGATACAGGGTCAGCCGTTAACAGTAAAAGATACGTGTATTCTAGTGTGCATATTAGAGCAAAGTGAAGTTAGTTTTTAAGAGTCTTGTTGGAACTTCAGAAAAGTTATAATAAGGCAAATGAAAACTAATTGTATAATATCAATTATCTAGATTATTGATTTTCTCGATTGTCATGTTATTTTCATCGGTTAATTTATGTGGTCTTTGAGAGATATTTTTAAGGCCATTTGTGACTTTGGCTCTCTAGTTTTGTTTTTTAACTAAGATCTTAAATACATCATTCATCCATAAAGTTCATTTTTAGTAAAGACTTAAGACTGAGGGTAAATAAAGCAGTGGTAAATAAAGCAATGAGCTCACAGGAGAGAGCAAAAGAGGCAAACATCTCTGCCCTCATGCAACTTACATTTTAGTTGAGGGAGATAGACTGCAATAATGTGTAGTTGATCCTTGATGACCATGGTGTGAGTTGTGTGCGTCGACTTTTGTGTGGATTTTTTTCAATAAATATAATATTGTTTGGCCAAAAAGTTTGTTTGGATTTTTCTGCTATGTCTTACGGAAAACAAACAAACTTTTTGGGCAACCCAGTACCTGTATTTTCATTTTATAGACCTTTAAATTAACTAAGTGTGTGGAAAAGTTTGTTCAGTTAGAGACCACAGTATGTGGAATCATAAGAACTAGGATCTGAGACAGTTACCTCCAAGCTGTTTCAACTTCCTGCCTCTCTTTGGGTAAGTCATTTGTCAGTTTCTTTGATTTTGAGGCAGAGATGGCAGTGCCTGGATTTTCTACTAGGATGGGGAACAGGCCAGTGCCACTAACCTCCCTTTGCTAAAGGGTCAGCTGTCAGTAGATCATGTTGGTAACAAAACAATGAGAGAAAATAAAGAGAAGGGAGTTTGCAATTTTAAACAAGTGGTAGGGGAAAGCCTCATTGAGAAATTGCATCTGGACAACAACAATATGAGGGAGATGAGGGAGGGAGCTGTATTGTTAACCAGAGAATGAGCATGCCAGCTAGTGCTAAGGCCCTGAGGTGGAAACACAGCATCGACAGCAGGGAACAAAATCTTGTGTGTGTGTGTGTGTGTGTAAGTGCCTTATAGTCCATTCTGAGAACCTCTGCATGAAATAAGAAGTCATTGAGGTTTTGAACAGAATTTTATTTTATTTTTTTTTCCATTTATTTTTATTAGTTGGAGGCTAATTACTTTACAACATTGCAGTGGTTTTTGTCATACATTGAAATGAATTAGCCATGGATTTACATGTATTCCCCATCCCGGTCTCCCCTCCCACCTCCCTCTCCACCCCATCCCTCTGGGTCTTCCCAGTGCACCAGGCCCGAGCACTTGTCTCATGCATCCAACCTGGGCTGGTGATCTGTTTCACCCTAGATAATATACATGTTTTGATGCTGTTCTCTTGAAACATCCCACCCTCGCCTTCTCCCACAGAGTCCACAAGTCTTGAACAGAATTTTAATACCAGAGTTTTCAGAAACACATCTTTGGATATTGTGGAGGAAACACTTTATAAATAAAAGGTATTATAAGAGATTTTTCCCCTACTGAAGTGTAGCTTTTTGTAATCAGGCAAATATATTTAAAAAATATGCTACCAATAAGTAATTTACATAAGGAAAACTGTGTTGGGAAACTTCACAGAAATTTTTTTTTCAATTTAAAAGAGCCAGTCAACATGGGAAGATAAGAGTTAACCAGTGTAGCTGTTTAAAATGGAGGATGAAAAAATAAGTAAAATGAAGGAAGATCTGTTTATGATATGATCTCTAAAAAAGCTAATTGTGGTGTCATAATTAGGATTATATTACCCCTGGTAGTGCTATGGTAAAGGATATAAGCTGAAACCCCTGAATCCTATCTCTTACCTGAAGAATACTAACTTAAACAATAATAATTTAGTATAATGATTTGGGATAAGAAGTTAAAAGTTCTGGATATTTTCTACAAAGTGGCTGTTTTTCTTGCTTAAGTAACCATGTAATTGTTTTAAAAAAGTAAGTATTTTTGGTATAACATGGTATTTTTTCAGTTCCATCAGGTATTGGTAATAAGTTTTTAGTTTCTAAATTATCAGATTTTACCTGAACAGAAGTGTGATGTTTAATGTAGAGCTCAGCTTGGAATTTCTCTTTGCCAGTGACAGGTCCTTGGGTGCCTTTTCCCTGCCTGCTTCCTTTGACTCCCCTCATCTTTCTACTTTATCTATGTTGAACGAGTCAGCTGTTTAGTCTTTAGATAGGATCTAGTCTAGATAATCTTTGGTTTACTAAATTAGACCAGTTAGCTTGGAATAGTTACCAAAACAGCTGTTTTGAACAATGAACTTTCCTGCCAGTATTGCTTATGTTGGACAGTTGATGCCTGGTTTTCAGAGCCCTTTACACCCTGTCTTTCCTTGTAACTGTGTAGGGACTTCCCTGGTGGCTCAGACGGGAAAGCGCCTGCCTACAATGTGGGAGACCCGGGTTCAATCCCTGGGTTGGGAAGATCTCCTGGAGAAGGAAATGGCAACCCACTCCAGCACTCTTGCCTGGAAAATCCCATGGATGGAGGAGCCTGGTGGACTACAGTCCATGGGGTCACAAAGAGTCGGACAGGACTGGGCGACTTCACTTTCACTTTATATAGCCTTCTGTCCTGACTGGAATGTTTTTTTACTGTCTTCCAAATAGTACTCAGTAATCTTTGAGTACAGTGCATACATAAGGTATGAACGTGTCCCAGGCTTTTCCACGTCTCCATTTCTGCTTGTGCCATTTCACCTTCTTCAAACTCCCCTTTGTCCTCTTTTCCACCTGTCTGACTTCTTCCCTGTATCAGGATCAAATTCATGACAGCCTTCTCAGTAAAGCCTGTTCTGTCTACTTGAGCTTATTTATATATATATATATATATATATATATATATATATAATTTTTACAATTATTGGCAGTTGACCATAAGCTTTTTTTTTTTTTTGACCATAAGCTTTTATTGCTAGCTTTGAACTACTACTTAACTGGTATTAGTCAAGGTTCTCCACAGAACAGAACTGACAGGATGTGTGTATGCATACACATGCATGTGCATGCGCATACACATACACGAAACTCTTTTTATATACTATATGTAATTGGCTCATAAGATCGTGGAGGCTGATGAGTCCTGACATTCCCAGGGTGAGTTGGTGAGCTGGAGACCCAGGAAAGCTAAGCAGACGGCATATTTCCAGTCTGCAATCTGGCAGGCTTGAGACCCAGAAAAAGCTGATGTTTCAATTTGATTCTGAAGGCAGAAAGAAGCCTAGGCAGTCAGGCAGAGGAATTTTTAGATTTACTTTATTTTGCTGCTCATTCATGTGCCTTGTCTTGCCAGCTAGTAAACAACTTGAGGGCAGGAACTGCAAGTCATATTTACTTGCTTACCATCCATGACTTTGTGCATCCTGATTTACATGTAATAGGTACATCTCTGTATTTTATGAAATCATAACATTTTAAGGGCTAGAAGGGGCCTTGAAGGTTATCTTGTTTTAGAGTTGGAGAATCAAGAACAACTTATTAATATATACTTCTTTCCTTAGTTGTTAGGAAAATGAACGAGATAATGTTATCTATGAAAAGTTAAGTGATTGACTAATTTTAAAGATTTATTTTTGCTTAGAGCATGAATCAGAATGTATCCTTTAATTAGAAGATATTTCCTGGGTCGAGATTTCACCTTTTTCTTTTTCTTTCTCACCTTTTTTTTTTTTCGTTTAAGAATGTACATAGCACATTAGTCAGTTGTTCATATTGACAAGTATGTCCAAAATGAGAACAGATTTAATTTGAAATGTCATCATTTCTTCAAAGCTTATTGTCAGATATATCAAATTTATGGATTCATCTAGAATATTCCAGTTAGGTATTCAAATATAAGGCATTGTAACCAAGTGGTACCTTTAGCTTTGGGACCTGACAGTATTGAAGATGCAGGTTGAGGCTGTAGAATTTGAAGTTAACTGTATTTTAAACACTCAACTACTTTAATTTGAACTTACTCTTCTTTATAAGTTTTCATTTATGGGAACTGATACTGATTGTTTTCAGATGTTTTTATTTAGTTCTTTTCCTTCCTAGATTTTCTTGTAATCACATCTTACAGCTTTCAAGATGGTACTAGCAGACCTTGGAAGAAAGATAACATCAGCATTGCGCTCATTGAGCAATGCCACCATTATCAATGAAGAGGTATGTAAAAATACATGTGATTGCACATCATCATTAGCATTGCAGATGGATGATTAATAATCTCTATATAGTTACTTCTAGATAAAATCTGTAAATGGGTATAGTAGTGTGTTTTATGAGAAATTGACTATGTTAATTTCAACTTTCTATAATGAATTACCAAAGAAAACCCCACCTTAACTTGTATGTAATAATGACATACATTTTATATTTCAGAAATGGCTTAGGTCTGGAAATATGCTTTTGCTTTCTCTTAATATAGGCCTATAACTTTAGTGTCCTCCTTCCTTCTTGATTAGACATGCATATGTCTGGTCTTTCTCCTTGACTTTTATTTGACATTCTTATATAAGGCTAATATTTCCATTTTGGCTACTTTGATTCATTTTCTCTGAAATCCTCTTTTAGTTTTTTGGAGGTTTTGTAAGCTGACTCCTGAATATGATATCTGAAATACTTTTCCTCCTGGTTTTAAGTACAAGGTATTTCTTGCTCCCATTCCCTGCCCCCCCACATTGTATATTAATAGTTTATCAACTGAAAGAAGATGATTATAGTCCACAAGTATATTTTACATTTTGTGGTACCAGTGGTAAACTACTGATTTTGGTTTTAGAAGACCTTGTTTAGTGTCCTGCTAAACAAGTCATAGAAATTTGAGCGAGTCAAATTCAGAATTTCTTAATGTTTAAAATGAGAAAACAGCATTTACCTTTCAGGATGGTTTTAAAGATCAAATGAAATAATAGAAAGTATTTTCTAACTTGGAGGTTTAAAGAAAATTCTAATATAAAATTTGATATCAATACTTTAATAAGCTAGTGGAATTAAATAATTTGGGGACCGTCTTTGAGCTCAGCTAGTCCAGCCTCTCTCTTAACAGCAATAGGAAGTCAGTTTCACATATTTATTTATTGGAAGAACCAGGATTAAAATCCTGTTTCTAATTCCATAATAATTAATATTAAGTAATTATAATTTAAACCACTGTTTAGTCTTTGGAATTCAGAATAAATAAAATGACAGCTTTTCAAATAGTTTTCCCTGTTGTATAACCCTTATGCTATTTGTGTTTATAGTAGAAAAAGAAAAGAAACCAAGGAGATTAGGTTGGTGGGAAGTAAAATAACAGCTGTTGCTTAAATTGGCAGCTTCTCTATTCTTGATACTGTGCTACTAGGGAATTAACAAGGAGAAATCCCTCTAATGAAAGATCAGTTCCATTTTTATCAAATCCCTTTAGTGAGGGATAGAGAAATCTGATAAGCTGCTATCTGACATATGACAGAAGTTGAAGATGAGAATTCATTCAAGAAGTGTTTGAGGGCCTACATTTTTGCAAACATTTTTGCTGCCACCAGGAACAAAATTGAACAAAATAGACTAAAATCCCTACCCTCATGGAGTGTATTGCATTCTAATGTGTAAACAGCTATTTCCATGAGTGGCTAAGGCTCATCTTTTCTAAAGACTTTTTTATAGTTTGTGATCTTTTAACCACAATGCCTTGCAGCTTAACAAATATATGATGATAGTGAGTTCTTAATGGAGGATGGTTTTCTTTTCAACTTTGTTCCTCTGTTCTGAGTGGAGATAGTAAAGGCTAGTAGGTCAGACTGGGTCATTTTCTTTTGTCACATTTTCCTCCATGGTAGTCCAGTTGAGAAGATGTTGCTCCATATCAGCAACAGGAATTCAATGGCATAGAAAACTTCAATGGCAACATGTATTGTATAGTAACTTTCTTTGACTTGTATATCGTCTTTACTATTATTACTTTAATAGAGGGATAAAATTGTGGTGGTTAATACCTGGTTGAATAAAAAGAAATGGAATGTCTTTTTTTTTTTTTTTAAGTGGTGCTTTGCAAGTTGTGAGATTTTAGTTCTCCTATCTTGGATCCAGCCCATGCTTCCTGCAGTGGAAATGCAGAGTCCCAATCACTGGACCACCAGGGAATTCCCTGGAATGTCTTATTTTGACAAAATGACTAGATATTTAATAAAATCTCTCTCAAGGGCTAACTGAAAACCTTTTCGCTCTCTAATTGTATACTATGGTTTTTAATTAGTCATGGTTGTATGGTTGATGACTGGTCAGTCATTGTTTTTATATGGTTGAAATGAATTGTTTAAAAGTTTTATTCATTTGCAGGTGTTAAATGCTATGCTAAAAGAAGTATGCACGGCATTATTGGAAGCAGATGTTAATATTAAACTAGTGAAGCAACTAAGAGAAAATGTAAAGTAAGTTAATTAAATTAAAGGTAAAAAACAGGCAAAACTAAATTTAGTTTACTGGGATGAGGAGCTAACTAGAAAAGTCAGCTGCGTTATGAAACGTTTCTGCTGTATAGCACTGGGAAAGAATGGAACTCATATGTTGGAAGACTTCTTTTACAGTGTGTCTCCATAATAATGGTTCAAAGAATAAACTACATGTGGCTTTCATTTAATTATGGAGTTCTTTCCATTCTACTACTCCTTTATCTGAATGGATTCACTCATATACTGTATAGTATTTTAACAGAAAAGCCCGTTAGCAATTCAGAGTCCTTAAAGAAAAGTGGTGCCGTTTTAATCCTCTTAAGACTAAAGATGGCATTAATCAACCTCCTTCACTATTGGAGAGTGGTATTCTTTTTTATCCCCTTTTGGTTTCTCTGTCCATATTCGATAAAGGAGTAGTGTGTGTGGCCTTAGTTATTGTGTTAATCGGGAGAAGTGCTGACTGGGGCGGAGCACATAGAATAATGGAGGGCACTTCAGTTAGCTGTTTCAGTCCTAGCCCTCCTCACGCTCAGGCCATCCCCCCTCCTTTTTGTATTGTCAGACTGGGTATTAAATATAGGACATTTAAGCATTTAGAACTGCAAGAAGTAATCTTATTTTCTGCTTGGTGTAAGCATGTATAAATTCTGTATGCTGCAAGAAAAATAAAATTAATACTTCACAGTAATGTGAGGACAAATTAATATTTGGACTTTCCAAAAATTAAGCCTTGAAAAACTAACCAAAGTCATATATCTAATATTGCATGGTAAATTCTTTGTGGTATGAACTTATGACTCTGTAGTAATTGTATGCATGTTAATTAGAAAAATACTAATATAAATGATTGGATAGTCTTACATTCTTTGGGGCAAAAGGTAATTTTTTTAACTGACTTTTCCCCCTTTTTATCCTCAAAAACCATCATTATGAAGGTCTGCTATTGATCTTGAAGAGATGGCATCTGGTCTTAACAAAAGAAAAATGATTCAGCATGCTGTATTTAAAGAACTTGTGAAGGTAAAAGTATATCTAGCTTGTGCTATGATTTCCTATACACTCACTGCATTAGCACGGCAAACAGGAATGTATTTCAGAATACTTTTTATTGTTTTTATGGAATATTTGTATTAAAAATATTAATAGAATATTTTCTGAATACAAAACTGTAGACTTTTTTTAATTGTAGACTAAAATTCTGAGTACAAATGTGAAGGTTGGTATTTTACTCCTACAAAAAAATGCTAAAGCAAGTTGTAGAAAGTACAACTTCACTATATATTAATTGATGGAAGAGCCTCTTTGAGTTTATTCTCTTTTAATACCAAGTTTTGCCTATTTTTGTGCAGAAAGTCACTCTTGGAAAGAGTTCTTTTCTACACTTTTATTGTGTCTAAAAGATTGAATATCCTACACTTGCCTAGATTTTAAGCAATTTTGAATCAGTGAAATTTTATTTTACAAGTTATACTCTATTTCCCTGTCCCACCTTAGAACTGATATTGCTGCTGCTGTTGTGAAAATTATGATGAGAGTCTTAGAGCATTAGAAAATATGTTTGAGTCTAATGGTAGGGGCAGAAAAGAAAGGAACTAAAAAAAGTTTTTTTTAAGGAGCAACAGGTACCTGCTTGTGGTCTCCAGGTATTTTTCCCCTATATTGTGTGAATAGTTTCATTTACTCCTTTAGTTCCAAAAGAACTGATTGGCACTTGGAGAAGATCTAGTATCTCAGATGGTTGTGACATTTCACTTTAGTCCTATAGACTAATCAATTGGAAAAGAAATTCAGAACCTAACAGAGATCAGGAAATTTAGCCAGTCTGTCTTCTCAGTTTGCGGTTGAGAAAAGTGAGACAGTTAGTGGTAGACACAGGTCTGATCTCCAAACTCCTTGTGTGGACTCCTCCTCACAATATTTCCAGCTTTCTCTTCATCTTACACCTGAAGTCAGCACAGAGTGAGTGAACATTTTTATTTTTAGGGGTTGGCATCTTTAGGGAATTCTGGAACATCAAGTGCTTTGTTAAGATGCCTTTACTGAGTGCCTACATTATTCCAGGCTGTATGCCATATACTGCTGATAACAGAGATGAAAAGTACTGGGCCTTATACTCAGAAGCTCATGGTCTGGGGCAGTGGTGTACAAAGCAAGGTCAAAACTTTTCATAATAACACTAAGACATCATTTGCCTTTTTTTGCCCTCTTACTGTGTTGATATTTACTCTGCAAATATCAGTGCAAAAGCAATGGCAGGCAAAACCATTGGGTAAAACTCCCTAGCTTGAACAAGGCAGTGATAAACTAAACTATACTAGTAGTCATTGTACCCTTTACTCCCAGACACTTGCAGTGAAAAAAAATGTTTTTTTTTCAAACGTGTCCTTGATGGAAATTATTAGTGGTATTAAATCTTGATCCTTAAATATATATGTGTTTATAGGATTTTGTGTGATGAACTGGAAAGTACGCAGAAAGCCATATTGCTGTGTACCAAAATTTGATGGTTGTCTTGAGGAAAGCAACAGACAGTTAATCTGTGCTTATTTGGCCTTGAACCTTTGGCAGACATTTTCTGCCAAATAAATAAAGTTGGCCTGTCACTTTAAGCAAACAACTAATAGTATTGTAGCCAGTGATAAAATTCTAGCTTTCAAGTGAAAACCAGAAGCTTGAATCCCCCCAGTGAGTTTGACAGTGTCCTAATTCTTAAGTCGTCTGGTGAGATCAGTATGGATATTAATAAATAAAATTTTCAATGTTGTGTAGTGATATGTGCCAACAATCGGAAATCTGCCTAACTCAATAAACCAGTATTTTCTAAATGACTAGTGTATAATGTTACAGAAGCATGCACCAGTATAAGATCGATTCAGAGTCCAAGATAGGATAACAGATTTTAATGTGATAGAATATGAAAATTCAGTACTGCAGTTCTAGGATGCAGGAGGAAGAGAAGATAAATTTATAATAAAATCATTATTCAATAAAACATAAGTTCCAAATAGTAGGTTCATAGAGAACTGAGTGATTCTGCCATGGGATATAGGGAATGGAGGTGAATATAGGACAGCATTAGTATTCTGAAAGGGTCTAAGAGGAAGGGCAGTAGATTTATGTCTAAGATTGTTGTTTATTTCAGAAGTTTGCTTATGGGTAGCTCTATGCCTGAGAAGAAGATAACAAAATGTATTTTCTTTTCCTCCCTTTTCTACCACATGGCTTTCCTTGAAATCAGGTATAATATGGAGTATGTAACTTTTATGGTATCATCTAGCATGGGCTCAGCAAATTTCTCTTAAGAACAAAGAGTTGCAGCTTTGTGGGTCATATGGTCTTTGTTGCAGCGACTCAGGTCTGGTGTTATAGCACAGAAGCAGTAAATGAGTGGGCATGTGTGTGTTAAGACTTTATTTACACATAGTTGTAAGTATGGTCTATGTCCTCTGGTCAAGGATATTAACTACTATTATGGTTTGATTATATAGAGATAGAGGTTTCAAGTTCCAAATAACTGACTTGGAAATGTATTATTTTTTTAAATGAACGTTAAAAATGCCTCCTCCTTGTTAGTTTGGGGACTGTCCATATATGTACCTTAATTTTCCACTAATTGCCATTATAAAATTGGTGATTATTTTTTACTTTAAATATTGTAACTTTATAGAGCAGTACATCCAATGGCGTTGGACAGTTTAACATTTGAGTCACTTGAAAAACCTTTCACATGTAGTTTGTAATTTTGCTCATATATTAACACTTGTGAAATTGAATAGGAAGGTAGGTGCCATTGCAGTGTTACAGCCACTAGCCACATGTGGTTATTGAGACTTGTAATGTGGCTAGTCCATACTGAGATCTGATACTGAGTGGATGGATAAGAGATCCATGCCAAGTTTTCAGACCTAGCATGGGAAAAGGAAATATAAAATAGCTCATTAATTTTTAAATGTAGATTACATGTTAAAATTATAATGTTTTAGATATATTGAGTTAAGGTATTAACATTAATATCACTTGTTTTTACTTTTTGAACTGTCACTACTAGAAGTTTAAAAATTCTTCTGTAGCCTTCACATGTATTATATTTCTGCAGTGCTGTTGTAGATTGCTCCTTTGCTCAAACTTGGTCTCACATTCATACACTTTCAACTTTTTCTAAAAAATGTTTTGAGATCCTTACCTCTGAATTGGTTTGGGAGTATAGGTTTGCTTATAATTTCACAATGCCCTATTTTAAATTCTTAAATTTCACTATGTGTATATACTACAGAGGGAAATAGAGTTGCGTTAGAATGGGAGGCTTATGGTTGCCTCTTAACATTGAAGTGTCTGTAAATCATTTTTATAATTTGAAGGTTGTGGGGAGAGAGGTTTTGAATGTAACCATGTGCTAACCTGATTTTATCTTTGTTTTTGGTATGTAGCTTGTAGACCCTGGAGTTAAAGCATGGACACCCACTAAAGGAAAACAGAATGTGATCATGTTTGTTGGATTGCAAGGGAGTGGCAAAACAACTACATGTTCAAAGGTAAATTATACTTAATTAAAAAGAAACAAAGTCATGGAGAAGATATGTTTGAGGAAATCAAGTGCTTTTACCAAGAAGACTGTTCCTATTCTTTAAGGAGATGAGGATATGATTTTTGGAGAAGTAAAGGTGGGAAGTTTACCTTATATCCTGTGGCTCAGGATTCCCTTTTCACAATGTCTCACCCAGTATAATATGTATGGATCTTCATTTTACATATCATTTTGCTAATTTTTAATTCATTATACCACCCTTTCCTTCATAATTGGGTACCTCAACTTTGTTACCAGATTTTGCTTCAGAAGCCTCAACTATGTATAGTTCAGAAAGAAAAAAAAAAAACAGGATTATTTCTTAGAGGGTTATGTTATTGTTTGTTTTTAATTAACATTAATAACATTTTTTTACCATAGTCATTTGTTGCTCGATCATTTCATATCCTTTGAATGTGACTGTTTGGCACTTAGAGTTTAAACTCTTCAGGAAATCTTCGGTATTCAGAATGTAATAATAATACTTTTTAGGAGAATATGAACTTTTATTTTACTCCTTAAGTAAATAATAAGTGTAAACAGAAACAATTACATGTGTAAAATTTGTATTTATTGATTTTTAAAATCTTCCTTTCCCAGTTAGCATATTATTATCAGAGGAAAGGTTGGAAGACCTGTTTGATATGTGCAGACACATTCAGAGCAGGTATTGTGCTGAAATTTGAAAATTATTTCCTGAAATTGTTATTTTTCAAGTTTAAGGACTCATTAACTTTTTATTTCATAGGGGCTTTTGACCAACTAAAACAGAATGCAACCAAAGCAAGAATTCCATTTTATGGAAGGTGGGTTCCGGTTTTTATTCTTATGTTCATGTCTTACCTTATCTGACTTTTTACTTTATGCTATCTGGCCACATTTTAATATGTACCTATAAGCTTGAATCATTTTTGGAATAAAGTAGGGGTATAATTAATACATTGTTACCTTTTATTATTATAACATGATTTTTCTGATCCAAACTGATCAATCAGAGCAGGTATTGTTTAGCTTATAATTCTTCCTGTACTTACCCTGCCTTGCATGCTTTCCAGCCTCCTGCTTTCATTCTAGTTGTTTCTTTTAAGACCTTTCTGAAGCGTTTCTCGGTTCAACATACCCTGGTGAATTCTACATTGTCTATTTCTTTAGTACACCATTTTTCCTCCATTTATCTTTATTAGTTGGAGGCTAATTACTTTACAATATTGTAGTGGTTTTGCCATACATTGACATGAATCAGCCATGGATTTACATGTATTCCCCATCCCTATCCCCCCTCCCACCTCCCTCCCCATCCCATCCCTGTGGGTCATCCCAGTGCACCAGCCCCGAGCACTTGTCTCATGCATCCAACCTGGGCTGGCGATCTGTTTCATGCTTGATAATATACATGTTTCAGTGCTGTTCTCTCAGATCATCCTACTCTCACCTTCTCCCAGAGAGTCCAAAAGTCTCTTCTGTACATCTGTGTTTCTTTTTCTGTCCTGCATATAGGGTTATCGTTACCATCTTTTTAAATTCCATATATATGCGTTAGTATACTGTATTGGTGTTTATCTTTCTGGCTTATTTCACTCTGTATAATGGGCTCCAGTTTCATCCATCTCATTAGAACTGATTCACATGTATTCTTTTTAATGGCTGAGTAATATTCCATTGTGTATGTGTACCATTGCTTTCTTATCCATTCGTCTGCTGATGGGCATCTAGGTTGCTTCCATGTCCTGGCTATTATAAACAGTGCTGCGATGAACATAGGGGTACACGTGTCTCTTTCACATCTGGTTTCCTCGGTGTGTATGCCCAGGAATGGGATTGCTGGGTCATGTGGCAGTTCTTTTCCAGTTTTTAAGGAATCTCCACACTGTTCTCCATAGTGGCTGTTTAGTACACCATTTTTTTTTTTTAACACCAAGAAAACGTTTTAATTAAACTACAGAAACAATAGCTATAGTACAGAATATTCATGAGCAAAAAGATACACCATGTTATAAGTACTTACAAAATTACAAACCATTTGTTTGCTTCCTTAACATTTTCCATATTTTAAGTTCGTACATGAAGGTGATCAGATTTACCATTTTGGGGGGGAAGAAGAAAAAAAAAAGGTGTATTTATCATCGCTAGATGTGCTCACTGTATGCTCCATTATTTATATGCAAGGCCCGGGTGACTGGAAGTGCAGTTGTCAGGCATTTTAATAAACTGGACAGCCATTTGTTTCTGCACGACAAGGCATCTTTACACAGGAGCAATCAGGAGAAAACAGGAAACAGCCAAGCACTCTGCACTGCAACACGCCACCTTAACAGCTAACCAGCATTACTCAACTGCTACACAACTGCGCCTAGTGCACAAAAATACATAAGAGAAGAGATTAGAATTGTGTTTGGTAAACAATTCTTCCCAAAAAAATAAAAATCAAGTCTTTTCACCTGAAAAGTCTTTATACAAATTTGGGTTCTGTTTACCATTTAGACCTGAAGGTAAATAACATATACAAATAAATTTACACCAACTTTTGTAGGTTTTTAATTTTAAGGTAGGAAGGCAATGTTGAGTCAATCTCTTGACAGCTTTAGGCTGTGTGTAATGGCTGCACACATTTCCTTAAAAGTCAGGAGGCCACAAATTAGGTTACCAATCTGTTTAATTCCAAACAAAAAAAGTCAGCACTATATAAACAAAAAGGAAAATTTACCTCAAATATCCAAGTCAATAATGAAATCTGAAGTCGTTCACCTTACTAAATTACAAGAAATTTGAATAACAGCAAAAAAATGGCACATAAAATGAATTTGCCACCTGAGGCAAAGCTTAAAACAAGTAAAAAGTTAGACAAAATGTTACAAAATAACCTTTTCAATAGCCAGTTGCTTGTTCCAAGGACTCTTCTGATGGACTGAGTACACCATTTTTTAAAAGTTTGTGTTCGATCATCCTAAAATGGTTTAGAATCTATGTTTATCTCAGAGTCTGATCATTGCTAACCTTCATTTGCTACATTGCTGTTCAGTTAGGTGATTTGTATGTTAAAATGACTAATTAAAAGAATTGTGTCAAGATTGAGTTTAGAAAGACTTATTTGAGAGAATAACATTTTTCTTAATGCTACTCATATATTAATATAAGAAGATTGTTATTAATATAGAAAGCTTAAGCTAAAATTTGAAGTAATTAAATGAATGATATCATTTTATGAATCATTATTTGCTACTTTTTGGCCAAAGAAACTAGTGAACTTTGGCTATGGTATGCTCTTTATTTAAATTCTTTTATTAGTTTTTTTTTTTTTTGGTTGTAACATGCTGATTTCAGGATCTTAGTTCCCCAACCAGAGATTGAACCCAGGCCCTTGGCAGCAAAAGCACAGAGTCCTAACCACTGAACCACCAGGGAATTCCCTTTATTTTTTTATGATAATTTCTAGCAAATAGATTTAAGAATAATGTTAGGAATTTAATTTTTAGGATAAGAACTTTTTCTAACATAGATTTAAAAATCAAAGGATAATAAACAGTTACATATTTGGAGTTCATATTTGCACAGTGATAGGTGTGAGCTGATAGGTGGCTCAGATGGTAGAGAATCTTCCTGCAGTGCAGGAGACCTGGGTTTGATTCTTGCGTCGGAAAGATGCCCTGGAAAAGGAAATAGCAACCCACTCCAGTATTCTTACCTGGAGAATACCATAGACAGAGGAGCTTGGTTGGCTGCAGTCTGTGGGTTGCAAAGAGTCAGACATGACTGAGCAAGTAATGCTTAGGCTACTTACTTGAACTATTAGCCAAAGCCAGAGCCTTAATTTTTAACCAGTTCCTCAGTACTGTTTATTAAATAATCTCTCCTTTGCTTATGTATATGGAGTAAAATATTAGCAATCATTGTTTCTTCTGGGAGAGATGAAGTGGATCGGACGGGGGAAGGAAGGATTTGAAATGATCTCTAATGTTAAATCTACATGTTAGCATTTATTGGGGGGACAGTAGATATGTTTTTTTTTGTACCATTCTGTCTTTTTTAAAAAGAAACACTATTTTAATAAAAAAATTTTAAAGAAGTGAAAGTACTAACACTTTCACTTCCCAAATACCGGCTTTTAGCAAGTCCATCTGTGCTTTTTTCAAATGTGCTATATAAACAAATATACAAGAGATAGATAATTTTAAGTTGAAATAGAATCTTTTCATGCTTTGAACCTTGATTGCTTTAGTAGTAGTTATATGGGTTGTGTAAATTTGCCAAAGCTCATTAAAATGAATACTTAAAATAGTGCATTTTATGTAAATATACTACTATAGACTTGATTAAAAATGGGATCTTATGACAAGATAAGGGAGTGATTATTCTTGGGAGGGAGTAAAATACTAATTATTTTGTTTTCCTTGGTCTGGGTGTTTTGCTTTATGAAAATTCACTGAGTTTAAACTTTGTGAAACTTTTCCATATATATGTTATATTTCATTAAAATATAATAATAATGGGATCTTAATAATTCTGGACAATATGCTGTTAAAGAGAATTCTTTTTATGACATCACTGTATTCCATTGTATGCATGTATGTAAGTAATCTCTTTATGAACATCTTTGATCCTATTTCTTTATATATTTGTTTTATTTTAATTGTATCTTTATCATATTTTAAAATAGCTGGTAATGCTAATTTCTGTCTTCTTTTTCAGCATTTCTTGCCTCTTTCACCTGCTTATTTTCCTGAGTAAATTTTAGGTTTTTTTTATTTGGAGGAAAATTGCTTTATAATGTTGTGTTGGTTTCTTTAATCAAGTTCCAGAAAGAAAAATCTCCCTAAGATTATGATTAAAACTATATTGAAGCCAATTAATTTAGGGGAGAACTGACATCTTATTTGTATAGTTCCATGTAGAAACTTGCTAGGTCTTTTCTGTTAAAAATTTTGTCCTTAAATATATTAATTTTCTTCTTTTAAGTTTCACATATATTTTTATTAAGTGTATTTCTGCTTGATTTGTGTTGTTAATTTAGGGGAAAACTTTTAACATTATATATCCTTTCATTTGACAACATTGATCTGTATTAAAAGTTGCCACTAATCAAAAGAATGTAAACTAAAATAAAATCTTATTTTTTGATTTTCAAGTTGAATAGAGTTTTGAGGATTATGAAAATATAATAGCAATGAAATTAAAGTTTTGTGAAGACTTTAAAAAACCAAAAGCTTCAATGATCAAACCATTTGATCCAAATTCAGCTTGTAGGAGTGTATCATAGTTTAGAAGAAACAACATTATATAGTATTCATATTGGCTATATTTTTAACACCAGGAAGTTAGAAAACCTTAAATGGCCAATAGTAGGGCATTTATTTAATAAATGATAGCATAGCCATCTGTTGGAATGCTATATAACTTAAAAGTCACGTGTTACAAGAATATTTAATGGTTTTATAAAGTGCTACAGAAGGATAACTATCATCAAAAAGAACACAAATAACAAATGTTGACGAGGATATGGAGAAAAGGGAATCCTTGTACCCTCTGGGAATGTGACTTGGCACCACAGCTGTGGAAAACAGTATGGCAGTTTCTCAAAAAACTGAAAATAGAACTACCATATCATCCAACAGTTCCACTCCTGGGTATATATTTGGGAGGGAAAAAAGACACACTAATTTGAAAAGCTACATTCACTCCAGTCTTCATAGTAGCATTATTTATAATTGCCAAGATATGGAAGCAACTTAAGTGGCCATTAACAGATAAATGGATGAAGAAGATTGAGACACACAGACACAGACACACACACACACACACAAACAGATAAATGGATGAAGAAGATTGAGATACACACATACACACACACACACCCTACATACAATGCAGTACTACTCAGATATAAAAAGGAATGAAAGTTTGCCATTTACAACAATTACAGCTGAAAAAAAATTGTGACTCATTGTACTGTATAGCTATAATGTATAGTGTACATCAGCTATACTTTATTTAAAAATGCTTTCAAAAGACTAAGTGGAAAACATTATGAAACACTATATAATACAAGTTCAGTTATTAAAATGTAAAAAAAATTGAGGGATACACAACTCATTCGGAAAAGATATAAAGCAGAATCATATGGGATTTCATAATTGGGAGACTGGATACTGCTTCATGCTGCTCTTTAAATGGCTTGTGATATTTAATACTTACTGGATTTTGTACTTAATTGAAATTGTGATCAATATGACTTTTTCAGAATAGATTAAAGATATACTTGCAATTTCCACATTACTAGTATTTGAATATTTTGCTGTTGTGGTTGTTAAATCATTTTTTCCATGTTAAATAGCTATACAGAAATGGATCCTGTTATCATTGCCTCTGAAGGAGTGGAGAAATTCAAAAATGAAAACTTTGAAATTATTATTGTTGATACAAGTGGCCGTCATAAACAAGAAGACTCTTTGTTTGAAGAAATGCTTCAAGTTGCTAATGCTATAGTAAGTAGCTTTAATGTAACAACATTATAAGGACTTCAGTTAAAACCTAACTGAGTTTGTGAACCATATAAATTATTTTTTGCTTGTAAGTTTCCAAGTAATTTATTTCTATTTTGGGCTCCTTTATCTATATGATAAGGACTTAATCTTTTCAATCTTCTCTACATTGATATGAAATTTTCATGAGTATTGGAAATTCTACTGCTTAATCATCTTATTAGTATGTATAAGAAAAACTAACAAATTGAGAATAACCTTTAGTAACTATTGAATTTCCTTTCTGTAAATTGTTTAAATTAGAAACATTTGCTTTAGGTGAATTTTGAAAGATTTTCAAAATGAAGCATTTAAAAATATTAATCATCATTTAGTGTCACTTTAAAATAGTGATGGAAATAACTTGGGGATAAGAAATGGTTTATAGGTAATCTGTAGCACATACTATGAGGCCATATTTGCCACTGACGTGCTGGCAGTAATTCCTTAGTTAATGGTTAGTGCTAATAAGTTGGTTTTTAGCCGTGCCATTATTTTGATTCAGTGGAGCAGATCTAAGGGAAATAGCCTCACCTCTGTTTTTATCCATTTTGGTTTCAGCCCATGCTCTTCTGCTTTTACTTCTTCTCATTTACAGTTGTTCCATTTGCCTGGAGTGTGATTGCTCGAGATTATTGCTTAACTTTTTCCTCTTTATTCAGATCTCAACTCAAATTTTACCTCCAGACAGGCCTTCTCTGACCACCCTGCAGAAAGAAGTCTTCCACACCTCATAACTGATTTTCTCTATCCCATTTTAATTGCACATTCTAAATGTTTCAGTTCAGTTTAGTTCAGTCACTCAGTCATGTCCAACTCTTTGCGACCCCATGGACTGCAGCACGCCAGGCCTCCCTGTCTATCACCAGAGTTTACTCAAATTCATGTCCACTGAGTCAATGATGCCATCCAACCATCTTATCCTCTGTCGTCCCCTTCTCCTCCTGCCTTCAGTCTTTCCCAACATCAGGGTCTTTTCTAACGAGTCATCTCTTTGCATCAGGTGGCCAAAGTATTGGAGTTTCAGCTTCAGCATCAGTCCTTCCAATGAATATTCAGGACTGATTTCCTTTAGGATGGACTAGTTGGATCTTCTTGCAGTCCAGGGACTCTCCAGAATCTTCTCCAACATCACTGTTCAAAAACATCAATTCTTTGGCTCTCAGCTTTCTTTATAGTTCACCTCTCACATCCATACATGACTACTGGAAAAACCATAGCCTTGACTAGACGAAATGTTTATTTGCCTATTTTTTATCTGTCTCCAGTGACTTCAGTGTAGGCCCCATAAAGACAAGGATTTTCTTACTCATCTCCATTTGAGGACCTAAATGGTGCCTAATACATATTGCTTCTACAGTAAATATTTATTGATTGAATAATTGTAATAAATATTTTTTATAGCTTCTATTGATGAAATTTACTTAAGGTCAGTTAAAATACATATCTTTTCTATTTAAATTTTCTAGCAACCAGATAACATTGTTTATGTGATGGATGCCTCCATTGGACAGGCTTGTGAAGCCCAGGCTAAGGCTTTTAAAGATAAAGTAGATGTAGCCTCAGTAATAGTGACAAAACTTGATGGCCATGCAAAAGGAGGTGGTGCGCTCAGTGCGTAAGTACCATTAATACTGTTGTCCTGTGTCCTGGACTTACATACTGTGTGTGTGTGTGTTTGTGACTTTATTAATCATTAAAAATCTGTTCCAGTAGTGGACCTAATATAGTTTATGAAGGAAGTATAAGTAGAAACAGAATTTTGGAGTCCCTCTGATATATCTATAGTTCTATTTTAGCTAGTGAAAAGCTTGAGGTATGTACCTTTGTCTAAGCTTTGAAATCTAGAAATTTGTTTTCCTTTTTGAGGTTATTTTGTGTTTTCTTTTTCTTTGCAGAGTTGCTGCCACAAAAAGTCCAATTATTTTCATTGGTACAGGGGAACATATAGATGACTTTGAACCTTTCAAAACACAACCTTTCATCAGCAAACTTCTTGGTGTGTACAATGGTGGGGATATAGACAAATATCCAAGAAATAGTGTGGCTTTTTAGGACAGATTAAAATTTTAATTCTGCCCTCTCACTGACTAGTTCAGGAAAATAATTTCCTTCTATGATTTATCTTCTTCACCTACAAAATAGGGATGATGGTAACCTGCTTCCCATGTTTAGAGTGGTAAAAAAGAGCTACTGGATGGAAAGTTCCTTGGGAAAGTTTTAGAGCACAGTACAGAAGTTTGTGGTTGTAGTAATAGCAGTGATAATGGCAGCAAAACTTTCATGTTTGAGAGCATGGAATTTGGAATTAAACCCTGGACTGCAGTCACTGCTTTGTTACTTAACCTCTCTAGCTTCAATTTCTCACCTGTAAAGTGTTGTAGAAATACCTGAGCTGCCTATCTCACAGGTTTATTACTATATGTGCATGCATTTTGCATAATGTAGCAATATAACAAGTATACTGTTAGTTGCTAATTTTACTTTTTTGGCTCTTATAGGTATGGGTGACATTGAAGGACTGATAGATAAAGTCAACGAACTGAAGTTGGATGACAATGAAGCACTTATAGAGAAGTTGAAACATGGTATATGAGTAACAAAAAGCATTTGGTCTCAGATGGCTTCCCTTGTTTTCTTTTGATGGAGCTACTATAATTTTTTTGAAGTGATAAGTCCATTAAAGTCAGTTCTTCCAGTGTTTATTTTTTAGATGATTTATATGAAGATCATTTTAAATCTCAGTCATCTAAGCAGCTGTAGAATTGAGTGTTTTCTTTCTTATAATCAAATTGCCTTAAGATTAGTATTGAAGTTTTCATTGGGTTCCTTGGAGTAAAACAGGTTAAAAGTAAGCTAAAATACTCTCTTCTGATTTGTTTGTTTACTTATAAGTTTTATATTTATATAATAAAACATAAAAAGAAATTTAAAAGAGATTAAATACACATTTTATTCACATTGAAGATAATTCCTATGAAAGTATGATTAAGAGCTTAAGTTTTTTAACCCAACATAGAACTTTTAAAAATAACCTCAATTTCCTTATGTGTAAAAAGTAGATAATACTAAGTATCTTCTTCATAGACTTGTGAAGATGAGCTGATATATATATATAAAATGTCTAGCACATCAGGAACATTTAACATATACTATTATTGATCATTTCTGTTTTTCTCAAAATGACATGACTCTTAATTTCCATGACCACACACTATCCTGCGTCTGCTCCTTCTCACTCATCTTGTCAGGTACCTATGTCTTTCCATCTTAGATGTTGGTGTTTTATAGTGATCATTTCTAGGTCATCATCTTTGCCTGGAGCTTCAGACTCATATCTGTATGTTTACTTGCTTGGATGTTCCCTAGATACTGACCTCAATTTGTCCTTATCTTCCCATCTCGACCTCCCACCTGTGTTGCCATCTATGAAGGTTAACATTATTTGTCTTGTTTCCAAAGGGTGTTGTCATCCACTCATGTCTTCCTCATTCTGCCCAGTCCTTTTCCCATTAATTATTAGTTCTAGTGATTCTACCTCCTAATTATCTCCATTCCATCCCCTACTTCCCAGCAACTATTTAAATTAATCTCTTATCTAGATTGTTTATTCTAAGGCTTTTAACAGGTTTTGCAGTTTTTGGGATTCTTTTCCTTGGACCTGTTTTTTTATAGTCCAGCCAAAATGATCTTTCAGAAAGGCAAATTTGATCCTAGTACTACTACCTTTCTTAAAATCTTTCAGTGTCTTCCCATTGCCCTTGGAGTGTTTTTGAATGACTACACCATCTAATCCACATCTTCTGAGTCGTGTTCTGACACCGTTGTTCTTAGCATTCCATGTGCCAGTCATGCTGAATTTCTGTCATTTTCTGAAATGTACGCTACAGTCTTTTTTACCTTGCTGTCCCTCTGCCTGTCAGTTATCCTCTCTTCCTATTTCTGTCCTCCTTTACCCCCAGCCAAACTGACTCACTCATACTTCAAGTCTACTTAAATATGCTTCAGGAACATTCTACCTCATCCCTAGACTTAGAACCCCTGCTATGTGTTTCCACTGGACCCTGTAATTATTGTATTATTCATCAGAGTTATTTTTATGTCTGTCTTCATTGCTTGAAGTTGAAGATTGGTTTCTAATATATTCCCAGACAGCCTGCTTTCTAACTCCTAGATCTCTGTTTAGGTCTGTGCCCTTGCTTCAGGGGCCTCCTTACTTCCAAATGTAGTGACCTTTCTCTTTTCTCTGGGCTCCCAAAATTTTAACATTGTTATCCGCCTTTTATATTTTCAAACTCTACACTTGGGTTCCATGACAGTGGGCTTCCTATATCATCTTAGCTTCCATTGTCATTTCTGTATAATGGCCAAATATGTATTTCAGCCTTAACCTGCTCTACCACAGTTTAATTCTATATTTCTAGCTGCCTATTATAACATTTCTTTTGATATATTTTACTGCTACTTCAAATTCAGAATGCCTAAAACCAAATACATTCTTTTTTATATCGTAGCACAAAAATAGAAAAGTCTTTAATGAGTTAATTTGCATAATAATGAAATGCTCAGATTCTAAGGATATCATTCCATTAATTTTGACAAATGCTTCTTGGGAAACAGAACATTTCCATTACTCTAGGAAGTTTGCTTATTCCCCTTCCCAGTAAAGCTTCATATAGGAATCCTAGAGTATATATATATATATATATATATATTTTTTTTTTTTTTTCCCCCCACCTGGTTTCCCTGACTCAACATAATATTTTTGATATTTATCTAAGCAGTTTTACTTACCTCTATCCTGTTCTTTTATAGTAAGTATTTCATCCAGAGTCAACCTATTTTCCAGTTTATTGACAGTTTAGCTGTTTAAGAAACTCTAAATAATCTAAAGCAGTTTGCCATTTTTACATTTTCATCAGCAATATATGAGAGTTCTGCTTGTTCTGTATCCTCTAACTTTGGTGTTGTCAGATTTTTTAATTTCAGTTATCCTAATATGTATAGATTGTTACCTTTGTTTTCACATTTCCTGTGTATGTTTATGTCCATTTTCTCTGATAAAATATGAGCTTCTCTAGGGTAGGATCTGTCTCCACAGCATTCATCCTGTAATCTTATGCAGCTTCTCAGTGAATATTTATTGATTGGATAGTTTATAAGTGTGCTTCAAGATGAGCCCATGATTAAGGAAAATATTAGTTTTATTGAATGGAAATGTTCACTCTCTAATATATTTGCATCATTTATGTTGTATTTCAGGTCAGTTTACGTTGCGAGACATGTATGAGCAATTTCAAAATATCATGAAAATGGGCCCCTTCAGTCAGATCTTGGTTAGTTATCCTAAAAAGTTTTTTCTAACCTCTGTTGTTTTTGTTAAAATTTCTAAGAATGGATACACTTGATTTAATTATTTTAATATTTGGGTAAAAATAGTTACTTTTAAAATTTAATATTAAAGCCATTAGTTAAATGTGAACAATTAATCTCAAGCTATTACTGATTTTTATGTTTAAATATATGTTTTAGGGGATGATCCCTGGTTTTGGAACAGATTTCATGAGCAAAGGAAATGAACAAGAGTCAATGGCAAGGCTAAAGAAATTAATGACAATAATGGATAGTATGAATGATCAAGGTAAGATGGCAGGTTTCTTGACTTGGAGGACCGTGTTCTCAATATTAGGAAGTTGAGAATTTCACTGTGTTCTTGTGGACAAGATGGGAAAAAATTTAGAATGAGCAATTATTATTTGGGAGATTTGTAGCTGCTTGAAAGCTCTTGCTCAAAAGGTGTGATTATTGGGTTGACTTCATCTTTGAGAGAAATGTCTAAGTACAGTGCTTCTCCAAATGAGTTCTGTGGTGAGAACACCAGTTCTTCAGAGTGTTGATAAATAACTTGAAAGGAGAGTCCTGTAGTCAGATAATCTGGGTTTTTTAAAAAAAACTGGTACATTTATTTATTGCATGTCTTCTCAGACCTCTAATATGCTCACAGGAATTGGGAATCTGTAAGAGAGGGACAGTTTAAGCAATATTTACCAACTTACTTTGCTCTCTGAGGTTTCAGTCTTCTCAAGTATACTACTCTCTCTCTGTAATCCTAGATTATCCCTCTCTCCTATACTTCTGGGTCCTCAGCCCATGAGTATTTCTAGACTCATGACTTCATTTTTTCCCAGTTTTTTAGCACCTTTTCTGATTCAATGCAGCAAGCATGCCAGGTCTTCTACTCTATCATCTGATCTCTGTTTACAAAGAAATACATGTGTTTAGCATTGAATTTTTTCAGTCTTTGGCTAACTTACTGATGAGGCTGTGACAGCCACAAGCCATTCTTCAAACTTTTTCAAGGACTTTTCTCCATCAGTAAAATCCTCTCCCGTGTCTCCAGTCTCTCCTTCCTACTGATTTTTTTCATCCATCAGCATATAAACATTAACTTCACAATTTCACATTTTATGGGCTTTACTTCTCACTCATACTTTTACTGTGTCTCTTTTCAGTCAAGTTTCTTTAAAAATAATGGTTTGTGTCCTCAAACTACTGAAATCTGATTTCTGTACCCACCATTGCTCTGAAACAGATTATACAAAGATTTCCAACAACCTTCTACTGGGTCTACTCCAGTGGAGACTTCGATCTTTTTCTTGACCTTTACAACATTGGATGTTCATTAATGTTTTATTCTTATTTTCTGTTACTTTTTTATTTCCACTTTTACCCTTACTTTTCTTGTTAACTGCAGTCTCTTTCACTCATCTCATCCTCAATGAGCCTAAAGGAATATATGCTACAAGGTTCTGTTGTTCTCAGCCAGTATTTCTTATTATTGTGTTCCTTTTGTTGAATAATATCACTTCTATATATCCTACCTGATTATTTTTTATAGTCTCTACCCCTTTCTTGATCTCTTGGTCTTCATAGTAACCCAGATAAGGTTGTGTCTTTCTCTTTATCTTCAACACTGTAAAAATTTTTGTGTGTAGAATTAATAACTGCAGCCTCATCTAGAGTATTTACTCTGCCTAGGCACTGTCATGAGCACTTTACATCCATTAACCAGCAACAACTCTTAAGGGACAATTCTGGGTCAAAATCCAATCTAGCTTTTACAGGTCAGGATATAGGGAAGTTGAGTAATCTGCCAAAGTCACTAGTTAGGGAATGGAGAGGCTGGGCTTCTGGCTTGAGAGTCTGTACTCTGGATTACTTCCTGTCTAGACACTCACTAAATGGTGGACAAGTATCTCTATTACGTGTTTGAGAGTTTTCTGAGGAATATAAGTTCCAAAAGGTGGTAGTTCTCCTTTGGTGAGTGACACTTCCATCCATCTACTCAGTCATCCAAGCTAGAAACTGGTGTCAACTTAGATTTACATCCTTGCTGATTTTCTGTCTAGTGGTTTTATTGATTATGGATGTAGAGGTGTTGAGATGCCTAACTTTTCTCCTTTCAGTTGTGTTAGTTTTGCTTCATGTATTTTGAAGTTCTTTTGTTGGGTGCATACACATTAGGATTGTTTCGTCTTCTTAGTGAATTGACTTGACTTTTTATCATTATGTATGTAGTGCCCTCCTTTGTCCTGGTCCACTTCATCTGCTATTCATGCAACCACTCCAGCTTTCTTTAATTAGTTGTTTGCATTGTATATCTTTTTCCATCTCTTTACCTTTAAGCTACCTATTTTATGTTGGAAATGAATTTCATATCAACAGCATGGTAATTTTTTAAAATAATTCTGATAACCTCTTTTAACTGGTATTTATATATTAGGATTTAATTCTGCCATTTTATCTTTGGTTCTGTTTTTTCTCTCTGATTTTTGTTCTTCTGTTTTCTCTTTTCTACTTTCCTATGGATTGTTTGAATATTATTTATTATTCTGTTTTATTGTATCTGTATATTTTTTGGTATATTTTACTTTTCTTAGTGGTTACTCTAGGTATTACAGTATATATACATATTTAATTTATCCCAGTCTATTCATATCAGTATTTTCCACTTCAGGTAGAATATAGAAACCTTAACATCACCTTAGACTTAGTGAGTTATACTTCCTAAATATTTCTTGTATTTTCTCTCCTCTTTGTTCCCTGCATTAGTTCATACATTTCTTACCTGGATTGCTACAGTAGCCTCCTGACATATCCCATTCTCTTTTTTTCACTCCTCTTTTAATCTGTCTTCCTCACTCCATAAAAATAATCTTTCTAAATATAACAATTCTGGGATCAGAATCTTTCAATGACTGTTTGTTGTCTTAATGATTAATTCCCAACTCCTGAGCCTGGCATAGGGCTTCCTAGGTGTTTCAGATGGTGAAGAATCTGCCTGCAGTGCAGGAGACCTGAGTTCGATCCCTAGGTCTGGAAGATTCCCCTGGAGAAGGAGATGGCTACCTACTCCAGTATTGTTGCCTGGAGAATTCCATGGACAGAGGAGCCTGGCGGGCTATAGTCATGGGGTCACACAGAGTCGGATACAACTGTGTGACTTCCATAGCCTAGCACATAAGCTCTGTTATAATCTTGTTTTTATTTTTATAACCTCTTAATTTCTCAGCTCTTATCCAAGCTTGGTTCCTTCTACACAAAATGATTTTCATTTATTCCGGGAATCCATGTTCTGCTTCCTACAATGTCCCTTGCTCCTTTCCTTCTTTACTTACCTCATACTTGTCCTTCAAGACTACACAGTTTAAGAGAAACCAGCAGCATGGGGCCTTTCTTGACTTCCTTTCTTCTTTGAGTTATGTCCCTTCTGCTTTTTGTTAAATTCAGTCATACTGCTTACCAGGATGTGCTGTTATTAGCTTGTCTTCATTCTCTCACTCCATTTGAGCTCTTGGGAGGAATATGATACACATTTCTGAAATATTTTATCATATGATGTGGCTTAAAACTGCATTTATGAAATGGATTTAGAGGTTTTAATGGACTGTAAGTTTATTGTGAGATAATTTGATCTTTGTTTGTATTACATTGGTAATCAGTCTTCCCGTGGATTTCCGTTCACTTCTGGACAATATGCTTAGTGGACATAGACAAATTAGAATGTATTCAGGAAATCAGCATGATAAATGGGTTGCTAAACCATCTTATAAGAGGAACAGTCAAAAGAGTTAGATTTTGTCACCTAGAGGAAAATTCACATGGTGACTCTGAAATAATTTGAAAGCCTTATTCCTTGTGCCTGGTAAGGAGACATCTATGCAAAATAGGAAGAAGTGTCAGACAGATGTATTTCATATTAATATGGGAAAATATTTTCCATAATTACAGGCATAATAGAATGGCATAGATTGAATTAATTTGGATAGTGGGTCATCTCGCCTGTGGTTGTTAAGATCAAGGTTAGGTGATCACTTATTAGGGGATATTGTGGAGAGAATGCAGACATAATAGCAATTTTGTACCTGAGATTGTATGCAACTAACGCCTTGAGAAATGGACCTTGTATTCTAAGAGTTACCAAAACATTGGAGGTGTTTATGTTACGTTCATTCTTTATGTTACAGAAAGAATTGAAATACTAGTAGTAATTACTTGAAATATAACAGTTATTCTGTTGATTATAGATAGAACCTACCTACTTCTATTTATTTGCCTAAATTTATGATTTAAAGGATAATAGTTATTTAGAGCTAAGGTGAGCAATTTTGTTGCTTTTTGAAATATACCTCTGGTATATATTCTGAGGAGCACTTGGACTTGAAATATGGAAAGGATGGACAAAAAGTTTTTTCAAAGAAAAGACGTTTTTCTGTAGGGTAAGTATGTGTGTATTTGTTTTATTGTTTTTATAGCTTAAGAATATTATACTCTTTTGAATATATTCCGTGTTTAGCTTTTAAAAATCAGAGGCAGACACAGCAGATGATAACAGCATTTGTTAAATCTGGTTGGTGGTTTGACCATTATATTTGTTTTTCTCTATGTGAGATATTGAGATGTAATTGCTTTGACAGTGCATGATAGTTGTGTGTACATGAAAGTAATTGACCCTTGCCTACAGAACTTGACAGTACTGATGGTGCCAAGGTCTTCAGTAAGCAACCAGGAAGAATCCAAAGAGTAGCAAGAGGATCAGGGGTGTCAACAAGAGATGTCCAAGAACTTTTGACACAATATACCAAATTTGCACAGATGGTAAAAAAGATGGGAGGTATCAAAGGACTTTTCAAAGGTAAGAGGAATAACAAGTGCATCATTATTTGACACTCTGAAAGGAAAGAAAGAGGTTGAGAAACTAAAAATTAAAGTCAGGAAGAACTGCCAGTATTAGAAAATATACTGCTGAATTTCATGTTTTATTCAAGTACTTCCAAGATTTATCATGGTGATCTGTGATTTATCTGTTTTCAGATTCAAGGTAATAAACACTAATATTTTTTTAAAAATCACACTTAATGACTTTGTGTGAAGTTATATATTAAGGAAAATTTAGAGACTATGCTAAAATATAAGAAAAAAGTTTAAAACACCCATTACATTCACTCCCCAGTGAATCCCATGGGTCTTACTGCAAATAACATTTGATATAACTAGTATTTTCTTCTGATCTTAACTTCTTTTCCATATTGTCAAGTATTCTTCAAAGTATAACTTTTAGACAGTATTTTTCCAGTTATGTATCATTGTTTAGCACAAGTGTATCTTTGTCGGATGTTTAGGTTGATTGATATATCACTCTCAGTTCTATATCAGTATCAGTTCTTGTGTCAGTTTCTGTTCAGTCTCCCGTGAAGCCAGGGATTTTTTCTGTTTTGATCAGAAACATAGGAGATGTTGAGTAAGTGTGGTAATAATTCAGTATTTTCCAATTTAATGGTCAGTTTTTCAATATGTGTTTTAGATTACTCATATTTAACATCTCTTCGTACATTTACTAGTTTGAATTTTCCTGGTGAATCCCCTCTTATTTAGGTTTCTTGTCCCATTTATTTTTTCCCTTATTGCTTTGTAATAACTCTTTAAAATTCTTGGATTATATCTGCAAATATTTTCCCCAGTTTTTCATTTGCCTTTCATTTTTATATTTTTAATTAAAACTGAAGTTTTCATTTTTAATGCAGTTAAACCTTTTGGTGTGATTTCTTTTATGCTCATAAAAGCCTTCCCCATGTTGGTACCACAGTGTGAAAGTGTTAATCACTGAGTCATGTCTGACTCTTTGCAACCCCATGAACTGTAGCCCCCAGGCTCCTCTGTCCATGGGATTCTCCAGGCAAGAATACTGGAGTGGGTAGCCATTTGCTTCTCCAGCATCTTCCCAACCCAGGGGTCAGACCCATGTCTTCTGTACTGCAGGCAGATTCTTCACTGAGCCACCAGGGGAGCTCTGACACCACGGTAGCACCTATGTTTCCTTCTCCTCTCTCTGCTTTTTTTTTTTTGGTTTTACTTTTTATCCCACCTAGAATGTATTTTGCTGTGTATTATCTAAGGTAAAAAGATGTTTGTTTTTCCAAAGAGTTAAAGCCAATTGTCCTAGCCCTGTCTTTAAATTTTTGTCTATATCTTAAGCACTATTAAAGTAAATTCATTATTTAAGAAATACTGGTTAGGGAAGCTTCAAAGATGAATAATATCACTGAATAGCTTTCTAAAACAGATGAGTATTTCTGTGTCGCCTTTTATGTTTTGATAGTTTCCTTATTTTTCTTGCCTGCTATATCCTGTTTTCTTCTTTGTGACAAGGGAGAAAAGTGAGACAAACTTGTTTAAAATTGGTTCTATTTCCTAACACCACGTGCTATTTCAGATAGTGATTTATAAATACATTAAGTCAGTTTAACATCTTTCCCAAATGAGCCTGACTGTTCATGATAGAGCTACTGCAGGTCCGTTGGTCAGATCTTATCTAAGCATTGACTGCTCAGTAAAGGCACAACCAGATGAAGTGGGCAGTGAATTTGGTGCGCATCCTTGTCACACCAAAGCCTTAATAATTTTTTGAAGTTTAAAGTCCTCAGAGACAAAAACTTACAATGAATCACCAGTGGTCGTAGAATTCACATCTTACACAGATTTATTAATTATGAAACTTTAAAAAAATTTTATCATGTTTTATAAAAACATATCTTCTTTCATTCGTAGTTCTTAAGTCATTTAATTTATTCATATTAGCCAGCTTTGATCAGAGAATCAGGGTCAACTTTGATTTGAATTTTCACAAATGTTCCTGAGAAGTACCAGAGTTAATGTTTCTTTGAAATAAATAGTTTTGCTGAAGCAAGCTCTACTTATTCATTGCTGTTGCATCAATGATCTCTTTGTCTTAAGAGAACAGCAGTTATTTTCTAAAGGATGCTTTTCTCTCTTCTGCCCCATTGTGCATCTCTTTCATTGGTTGCCTTTTTGGTGTAGAATCTCATTGAGTGTGTAGAAATTCACTGATAAATGGAGCTTCATTATATTTTTTTCTATTCCCTGAAGCTTTTTGTTTATAGTAACTTCTTAGATATATACATCTTGAGGTTCTCTCAGACTCATTCTTTCATAACCATTTATCAGTAATCCATTCTCATTCGCAGTTAACCCATATCTTTAAAATTTTTTGTTCAGCATTATACCATGTCACTACTAAACAATTGTTACAGCTTACTGTTAATAACCACTGGAAATGGTTTTTGCTTATAGTGGCTCATTTCAAAGGTATAAGTAAAAGTGTTAAAAATTTTAGTCCTTAAAAGCCTCTTAAATGTCCCTTAATATTGAATTTCACTTTTTCTTTCTCAAAAATATATATGTAATTGGGACAAAGATTAGAAGGGAATATGTACAAATAGAAATAATTGTGTTAGAGTAAGATTATAGGGTTTTTCTTTATATTTACTCAATTTCTATGATATCCTGATTATATTGCAGTCTATACTGACGCAAAAATTTTTTTAGGTGGTGACATGTCTAAGAATGTGAGCCAGTCACAGATGGCAAAATTGAATCAACAGATGGCCAAAATGATGGATCCAAGAGTTCTTCATCATATGGGTAATTATGAAGTTGTTGCCAGTTGCTAATGCATGGTTTAGTTTATAAGGGTTGAGTTTTAATAAGCCTTCTGTTGTTAATCGAAAATCAGATCAAACAGCGTATGGTGGAAAAGGCCCATCTAATTTCTAAGTGGAATGGTTGTAATAGTGTTGTATAAGCTGAGGTTTCATTCACTCCCCTGCTGCTGTTTGATATTTTTGAGCAAGCTACATAATCATCTTTATAAAATATATATATATTTGGCTAAACACAGGGTCCTAGTTGTGGCATGTGGGATCTAGTTCCCTGACCAGGGATAGAACCCATGCCCCCTGCATTGGAAGCACAGAATTTTAGCCACTGGACTACCAGGGAAGTCCCAAAATTGTATTTTTATTTCTTTTCATTTCGTGGCCACGTGAACCACCTTGGACCACCAGGGAAGTCCCTAATCATCTTTTGTTAATGCTTCTTCTGGTGACTTTTGGCCTTAGTTTAGAAACCAGATAGTTTTAGTGATAAGACTTTGGAATTATATAAAGATTTTGAAAACCAAGTTCCATTTTTACCATGTAACCTATGAAAAGTTCCTTAACCTTTCTGAACCTCACTTTTTTGTGTAAAATCACAGGTCATATCTTGTCAGGAAATTAGTACAGTTCTGGGCATATAGTAGATATTCAATAATGATGAATTGTTTTCTTACTTGAAGTCCTGTGCATTAACCACCACTCCAATTTATTACTATTTATAAGACTCAGACTTCCCAGAGAAAAATATTTTTGTTTCAATTTACTGACTCCCTACTGTGTTAGGTGCTGTTTGTTCTAAGATCTTTTCATGTAGTTTGTAGTCCTCATAACAGGATGAAGTAAGTTATTTATTCTCTTTTATAGATGAGGATACTGGTGATAATACAAATTTTTATGTACTTCACCGCTGGTGACCAAATTGCAGTCAGAACCCAGTATATTTTTTAGAAGTTTAAGTACTTAATAGGCAAAAGTAGCAGATGTTTCAAGTTCTATATAATAATTACCTGATTTTATTCCACTGTCACTCTAGGTGGTATGGCAGGACTTCAGTCAATGATGAGGCAATTTCAACAGGGTGCTGCTGGCAATATGAAAGGCATGATGGGATTCAATAACATGTAAAGAAGATGCCTTAATATAAACTGACTCTGTTGATTACATTATTTGCTGAGACCTCAGAATTTCCCCTCCTTTTTGCAAATGGGAAAAAAAAAAAGTATTTTTCTTGCCTGTCTTGCCCGCTTTCTTTCTCTTCTTGTCTTTTTCCCCCTCCTTTTCTTTTTCTTTCCTTCTTTTTCCCTTCCTCCCTTTCATATGGGAGGAATATATGGTTGTTGTGGAAATCATTATATTTTTGCTTTAGATTTTGTTTTCTGTTAGTTTCAACCATCATTACACTTCGGAAGTTAAACAAATCATGATGTAAAATTTTAGTACTTAAAAGTTTTTAATTGTCTCAAAGGCCAACCATTACCTTTGTAAACAGTCCTGGTCAGTAGTTACATGATGTCTCAATAAAAGTGCTATACAATAAACTTCAAAGTCATTATAAATTAAGGGGTTGTTTAACTTTCTTTATGGTTTAAAATGATCAGTGTATCATGTTAAAAGGCAGACAAAAAGATAATATTTAAAACTGTTCCCAGAAGTATACCTTTGTTGGGACACATGATAGAGTAACCTAACCATTAGTATTAGGAATTTTTGTTTAACTTGGAATAATTAAGATAATTTTGCCATAGAAAATCTTAACTCTGACATTTAAATTGAAATTATGAATTTGGTTATAGTTCATAATTAAATGTTTTATACATAACTTTCATTTTTTTTACCTCATATTTTTGAAGCCTGAATGGCAATATTTGATTTTCTTGCAAAGCCAATTTTGTTATGTTTCTTACATACCAAAAATCTGCTTGAAGAAATTGATATACTTTGATGATAATAGCTGATGTATAGATCTCCTAATGGGAATATAATTGCAGATATTAGGATGTCATTATTATATATTAAAAATAATGAGACCATAACAAGATTGACTTGGTTGTTGGTTACTTTGGATTGCTGTACAGTTCATTTAAGAACAATGGTAAGTTACGTAATTAATTTAAAACACTAGCATAATTATTATACCTATTCATTATTCACATCATGAAGATAATAGATACACTGTTATAACAATGTATTTTGAACTAGGATGAACTGATCTTCTGGAGAAGGAAATGGCAACGCACTCCAGTAGTCTTGCCTGGAAAATCCCATGGACAGAGGAGCCTGGTAGGCTACAGTTCATGGGGTTGCAAAGAGTCGGACACGGCTGAGCGACTTCACTTCACTCCCTTCACTCACTTCATACTTTATCGCTGGAGAAGGAAATGGCAAACCACTCCAGTGTTCTTGCCTGGAGAATCCCATGGACAGAGGAGCCTGGCGGGCCATGGGCCATGGGGTCACAGAGAGTTGGACACGACTGAAGTGGCTGAGCACTCACGCACGAACTGATCTTCAGTGAAGAACTGATTTATAGTAGTAGCAGAGAGTGAAAAATAGCTAGTTTTCGTAGTATTAATTTTTTATGTCTCGAACGTTTTAAAAAGATCTTAAAAGCCAAAGTGTCTTCAGAAAATACTTACATAGAGAATGCAACTGATTTTCTTATTTACTTGGGTAAAGATTTTATATCCCAGTAAATCATTTTCACCAGATAAAAACTTTAATATCCCTATTGAATATTTGTATACTCTGTAAAAATTATGTATCTTTTCTTCTGCAGAAATGTCATCACAAGGTCCAGCTACAGAGATTTGACAATATAGAAAATACAGTTCTCCAAATTGGTCTTATTAAACTAATGCATGCCACCTTTTCTGGGCATGCATTATTGTGATTTCTGTCCTCAGGGACCACTTTTCCATTTTGACCAAAAAAAAAAGAAATGAGATACATGGCCAAACTTTATGGATTGGGGCTTTTTGTGTCTGATGCAAATTATCTTTTTCAGAAGCAAAAATAACAGTGGCAAAGGCCAGTAAAAGTCCAGAATGTGTCATTCAGCTTCTGTTTCTCTTTCCTCATCTATAGAACAAGGAAATTGGAAATGCTCTGACTCCATTAATGCCTCAACCTGGCATCTTTTTGGTTACAAAAGCTATCCTTCAGTTCTAAGTACTGATATTTTGAAAGCATAAGTATACTAAAATCCTTTAGTAATCTGAACAAATTTCCTTTTATTTTTCACTATTGTTAAAATTCGTTTCTTAGCTTTTTGATATATTTTCTATTACCAACTTAGAGCACTAGCTAGATCTAATATCATACAACATTGGATTCTTCCTGGATTTGATTATAATGTTATGTAAATATGTACAGATATAAAATTAGATATAATTTATTTTACTTAGTGCTATGTAATTTTAAAACAAAAACAATGTAATAATCAAAAAAATTATAATCCAAGAAATGCAAATTAATAATTTAATGAATGTCAGTGTTCTGAAAGTATATTTGTTGGCATGTAGGATATAAGGTGCACACAATGCACTGAAACTTTACGGAGGCATTTTTTTTGGGAAAAAATTACTTTTCATCATATAGTAAAAGTGATTTTTAAAGTGTGTTACATAAGCCATTATACTGTTGAAATAAATACAGTATATCAAAATGTGAGAAGTCCTAAGTTCTGATATGCAATAATATTATACTAACCTTGAATAGAAGTATAGTGCACATGTCTAAAAAGAAATGTATTATTATGAGAAATACTGATATAGACAAGGCAACAAAGCCAGGAAATTTACTAGAACTAAAGTCTCATATTAATATTGGTAAAATTAATATATTAATACCTATTATCAGTGAATGTAGAGGTTAAGTAGCTCTAGTACATATAAATAAATATTTTGAGTAAAAAGTGGAACACAGTGTTTAAATGTGAAGAAATTTCAGCTCACTAATTGTATGCAGTAAAAGCAAGTGTTTTATTATAGTAAAATAACAACCACAGAATTTGAATGAGCTCTGATAAAAACTGTTGTCAGTGAGAATCATGGCTAAATAACAACAAAATGTAAGTCAGTTTTGGTCTTCTTAAAACCTGGCAATAATTATTGATAAAGCCAAGTAAGTTATCATATTCAAAACTAGAAAACCATCACCACAGCTCTTATCTGTTCTGTTCATTCCTGGCATTCACTGGATTGGAAACAGAGTTATCTTCAAAATTCTGCTGTAAACTCCAGCTGCTGTGTTCTGAATATTAAGCTATTGCATTACGGTTGAACCTAAATACCTTCTTTGCTTCTGAGCCACAAGTTATAAGAATGATGAATCTGTATCTCAAATTTCGGGGTATTAATTTAAATTTTACTTCGAGATCACCTGTATAGTCTGTGTCTTGTTATTGATGTGATATGAAATTTTGCTATGACTTTTCCCCCCACACTTTGTCATTAGGGGCAGAAAACAATTTATCTGTGCTCATTGTTGAGTAATTGCTAACCCAAGACTCTAGTCCCATCTCTGCTGACCTCTTATCTGTAATATGGGCATACTGCATACAAGGTAATTTTTGGATACTTTTAAAATGAAAATACAGATTGTAAGCTAGTGGTACATTTCCTTTGGTAATATTAATTGTAAAGCTAGTGGAACATTTCCTTCAGTAATATTAATGTGGTACACACAAGCTCTTGAATTTGGCAGGCCTGTGCTCCTGCTTGCAACTCTCGTTACTTTTCTCTTCATTCAGAATCATTATTTGAAGTGCATTTATATCCTTTAGCTTCATTTGGCCTAAAGTGTTCTCTTGTTAGCCTTAAAACAGTGCATTTTTTGGTACCAGTTGGATCATAAATGGAAAAGCAATCAAATTGCACATCAGCATCTGTTTGTAGGAGGGATAATGTAGATGAGTCTGACGCTAAGAAAACCGCTATGTGAGGCCTGAGCATCCTCTGACATAAAGACTTGCTTCTCATCAGAAGCAGAAGTGAGTAATATCCTATGACTGTGATTTATTTTTCTTAACAAACACATGAAAAAGTTTTGTGACCTTCCAGGGAAAAGTCCCATATCTACATCGTGAGGAGATGCAATACCTGCATATCTGCATAATTTAGGAATCATGATTTTTTGCTTTTTATGATTTTAAAATAGAATGTAAGAAAATAAAGAGGTAACCCAAAGTAGGCTAAGAGTTACGTATATTCATGAACCCATAATTTCTGACTTTGGGAATCAATTAAGGGGTTCAGCATTTTATTTCTGGCAGAAGTGGTATAAGAAATACCCACCTGTTTCTTGACATTCCATTTGACAGGAAATAAAGGGAGTGTGAAGCCCATAAGTTGATGTCTTTTTTTTTTTTTTTTAAGTTTCTTGTTGTTGCCCAAGAATTTGGATTGGAAGGTAAATTTGTATTTTATATACAATTGGATTATCTAGTTCATCTCATCTGTTACTAGGGAAAGGTATGGTTTTCTTAGTCTAGAAAAAGTACTGTTCTCAGGATTTCTTCCTTTTGACACTGAGCCAACATTAACAAATTATATAGAGAATTCAGCAAAAGTTCAACATGGGCAGAAAACCTGGATGTCCTCAGCATCAGTCATTTATGCTGTTGTACCATTTACAATTTCCCCTTTTGCCTATGATTCTTCCTGGAGAAGACATCACAGGAGTAACATCTAGTCCCACAAAACTGGAGTGGCTTGGTTGCCTGTTCTGGATTTGTCATATCCCTCAAAGCGGGGGTTGGGTGTAAGAGTCAATAAATGGATCAGGAAAATCACTGGCAGCATTGTGATACTGCGCTGCCTCAAATACAGTGATCTGTGCCAACCTTAACCAAGCAGAAGAATGGTTAGGTATAGAAGTAAACAATTTAAGCAAGTGCTTTACTAATATACAGAAGCTAAGTTACTAAGAGCAATATCCCAGTTTCCAGAACAATTCTGAACCAAGTCCAATATTTAAGGGTGATCAGCTGAACAGATCAAACATTAGGGGAATGTTAAGGGAATCAGAATGAAGCCAAGTGAATTTCTTTTGTAGGACTTCACTTTGAGTTTCTAGTCGGACATGACTGAGCGACTGAACCGAACTGATACCAAAAATATGTATCC